TGCCACACGACAAGTGCAGAAATCTCGTTAATAATTGGCTGCGAGAGTCCCGGACAGCGACTGCAAGATCTGAACCGTCCGGTCGAAGTCCAGGCGCTCATCTCCCGACGGGGAGAAGCCATTCCTTGGCTTTATGCAACTCAAGCTGGAGAATGCAACAGGAGTTGGTGCCACTGAGTCTCTCCTCCAACACTGCGGCCCCAAAGAGCTGCTGCAAAGTGTCATCTGGCAAGGCCTAGATGTGCAGGCATGACATCAATCAACAGTTTTTGTCGACTCCCTGCCTTCCTACTAACTGGCCATGTTACATGGTATTGCTGCCCGGGCACGACTTCCACATACCGCCGTAGTGCCTGTTGCCACGTGGCTCCTATCTTGTTCGTTGCCCAAGGAGCTTTCCGAGCCCGCATCAGCCAGGAAGTCAGACCAAACATTCCTTGTCTGTCTCCATCAATGAGCCAGCCAGAGAAGCAAAGTCATGTAAACGAACAGTGAACAAACAAACAGACATACGTATACACATACGAACAAACATCCATCCATCGATCCAGGCATGCCTGTCTGCTTGCATACAGACAGACAGACTGGCAGGCAGGCAGGCAGGCATGCAGACAGACAGACAGACAGACAGACAAACAGACAGACAGACTGACATATGATATGAACAGAAATCATGACATTCTTCTTAACATAAAACAACGTAAACGTGTGCAGCTGCAGCTGCGGATGTGTTAACTGACATACAAAGACATGTGCATAGACACACACACACACACATACATGCATCGGTAGATGCATAAAACCGCAAATATGTATGTATCCGAAAAAAAACAACTCCTCACATGCCCCACCTAAGCTCTGTCTGTTAAAAGGCATCCCAGGCTCGCTTGACACCAGGAGTGGCATTGAACACTCGACGAAAGTGATTGCTCAGCTTGTGCCTGCAAGTGGCATGCCAACTTCCGAGCCCAATGACACCCTATCTTCATGGTCATGATTGCGACCCAGCTGCAGCTCGTCACGTCGGAAAGCCACAGGCAACTTCAGATTTGCCAGGAACTGAAAACCGGCGAAAAGCGCCGACCCTTCATCCGGGTTCAAAATGATTCGGACTCTGTCATCATCTTCCAGCTCCAGCCATACAGCCTCACCCTTGTTCACATCATACATAAAGGGCTTGCCATCATGACACCGTCGCTGAGTGCCTTCTTTCGGGTTGGCACTTGGGTACCCAACATTGCCCGGCTTCAGCTCAACATCCAGCAGCTCCAACGAATGGAGCACGGCCTGAACTTGCTCACGAGTCGCCAACCGTGCTTGCTGTAGCTTGGAGAGGCTCTTTGGCCTGAGCTGTTGCAGGTGTTTCGCACCGGGCACAATCCACCTACATGTTTAATTTTTCCGAGAAGCTGCTTCGCCCGGGCACGGCTGTCATCAATCATTTTGCCTGCCAAACCATCTGCAATTTCCTGTGCTGCTTCGAGCTTCGAGCTCGTGTCGGCGGTTGTGGCCAGGAGATCGCTCAGCCGCTGGACCACCCACGGCACAGCCAAGTCGTTGGTTGCGACGATTGGACACCACAACTCGGTTTCGAGGATACTCTCGAACCAAACTTAGACGGTTGTTTCATCATGAAGAGGAATGTACGTTTGTAACTGCACCGAGTCTCCTCCTTGAAAGCCTTCGGCGAGGCATCGCACAGGAAGCTGAGGCTGCGGAACGTCTGCTGGTTCAGCTCCTGCCCAGAGCTTCTGTCAAAGCATGCAAACTTAAGGTGTCTGCTGCATAGCAAATAGCGAATATTGGGTGCAACCCACACATGAGGGCACGGGCTGACAGCTCTGGGAAGATGGAGACAGAGCTGAGTCGATGAATGGGAATTTCTATGGAGAACGTCTCAGAGTGAGGCCCTGAAGCCAGCATCACTGACACTTCGACTGAATCCTCACTGAGAGAGAAGGGAGTGAACACGAAAAAGATTTGCCCTGCAAGCAAGTCTGATTGGAGCGAATGAATCAATTGTCAGTCAATGAAGATTGTGTCCAATGATTCAGCAGGAGCAGTCAGCAACAGTAGCCAGCGAGATTGGTACAGAGTCCTGACCAAACCAGAGTGCATAAGAACTAGACAAAGAGAGAGAGAGAGAGAGAGAGAGAGAGAGAGAGAGAGAGAGAGAGAGAGAGAGAGAGAGAGAGAGAGAGAGAGAGAGAGAGAGAGAGAGAGAGAGAGAGAGAGAGAGAGAGAGAGAGAGAGAGAGAGAGAGAGAGAGAGAGAGAGAGAGAGAGAGAGAGAGAGAGAGAGAGAGAGAGAGAGAGAAAGAGAGAGAGAGAGAGAGAGAGATATATATATAGAAAGCACGGGAAACAGGTAAACCAATGGGCACGAGTTACAGACACTGCAGAAGATAGGGTCTGTAGACAGCATCCGAACCAACTCTCCGGAGCCTTCGTAATGCTGCTGCCGGCCAATCGCAGATATCTGAAAGCCAAGTCGGATGCGAGCCTAAGCTCCGGCGCTCCACGAAAATCAATTCATAAAATTTACCTCACTATGTATGTTGCATCTTGTGTCCAGCCTGTGTGAGTGCGAGGGGGCCAGCCATCCCAAGTCGAGCTCATCGAGGGTCACATCGGTCTTGTTCACGAAGCCGGAGGCACGAGCAAGGAAACGTTCCATGGCCATGGCGTGCTTGACCTTGATCTCCCGTTTGGCTTTTCTGCCGTCCCTTAGATGACCACCACAGAAATTTCACGTGGTCAGAAGTTCTCATCCATCAGAGCACAGCTTCAACCGACTTTTGAAACAATAGCTTCAAACCGGCTGCACACGTGCCGGATGGAACTCATCTCTCGCCGATGGCTTTGGGATCATCGTCTGGAGGCTACTGTCCAAGTGACTCTCGCCAGACTGGGAGAGCAAGTGAATCAGTCTTCGCTGAAGTCTGAACACTTTGACTTTGCCCTGCAAGCAAACCATAAAGGCATGAGTGCAAAAACTATCTTGGAAACTACAACATGGCTAAAGCAGCACCGTCTCGATCACCAGCCTCGCACAAGACATCTTCGAACGGCAATCTCATCAGAAACCACGAGGCAGCCGACAGTGGCACACCTGGGGGCTGTTGGCCGTCGAATAGGGTCTTTTGAGTTATGCAAGGCCTGCTTGCAGCTTTTGTTGAGCATGCGAGATCATGGAGCACCTCTCCCACCTGCAAGGAATGTGAATATGGGCAAGACTGCGAAAACAAGGGCCAAAAAGAGTCCGAGCGACCTAGACTGGATGCCGAGGAATTTCAAGCATCTCTCCCATGCCGCCAAATCCAAGTCGAAAGCCAGACATCGCAAAATGCCTCGCTCAAGAGCAAATTACAAAATTCAAATTGCTGTGTGGCAACAGACCGACTCATCATGCTTCCTGGGCGCAGTCAGGCTCATTTGGTAGCAGCTCGAAGCTCTCATCGGGCTTGCAGCAGTTACTGATCAGGAGATCGAAGCCAGCGAGGCAACCATCCTTCAGAGTCTTCTTGCAGCCCTTGACCTGGAGAGCTGAAGCGACCTGAGTTGTGTCAATGCTTGCATGAGCAGTCGTCGGACCGGATTCAATTCAATGCAAAAGGCAAACATGACCACTGCAACTGCGTAGCCATGAAGTAGAGGCCCGGCAGAGTGACCCCATCGAAAGAAAGCCGCAACTTCCCTGCATCTGCTGAGACTTGCCTCCCTTTGTAGCCCACCTTTCGGGGGATGTGGAGCTCGCAGTTGACACACCACTTCTTGGTAAGTTTGGCCATCATCGTCTCTTTCCTTGAATCAAATCATCGAGCGAACCAGCTCTCTAGTGCAAGGAGTGCTTTCATGGTCTAAGAAATCAAGCAGCAACTTGGAGAACCAATTCGTGAACTGCTGTTTGCGGGACAGCAAAGGCCATACCTCTGCGATGTCTAAACTTTGATCCAAGTAACACGGTGAACACAAAGCACACCTTCACGTTTACCTTTGGTCTGCAGGAAGCGAGTGCTGGCTGAAGTATAGTCGGAAAGCGCCGCCGGACTCTGCTCCGACTCAGGCGGACTGGAAGCTTCAGCACCATCTCTGCGTGGAGAGTCGGCGACCACCTGTGCAGCCGGCGGGAACACCACGGGCCGAAGCACTAGTCCAGCAGCTGCAGCATCTGCACGGTTTGCTTCAACCACGGCCTCCAGAGGCATGTGGTTTTGCACAGCACTGATGCAATACTGTGACTGTTGGTCTGTTGAGGTGCAATGAAAGTCCAGGCCTCCCAGTCCGGGCCAGGCAACAAAGCTAGAGCTTCAGACTCTGCGGTCTCGCCACTTCGGATCTTGCGATCCAAGATCTCGATCTTGAGCAGGAAGCGGTCCAGGAACTGCAGCTTCTGCTCTGGATCTTCCAACCTGCAGGACAAGGATTGGGTTGGAGCTGCGGAGCTTCAGCTAATAAATCAATTTGGTTCCCTCTAGCACGGTTAAGGCCGCCCGCCTCCTCGCATCGTCTATGCGAGCTTTCAGCCATGTCTCCATGCCGCCTGCACGATACAGTGCCGGGTTTAGGGTGCTCGGGCTGCATTTGACAGTGCTGGATGAAAGTGCTGCATTTGATTGTTCTGGATGGATCGGGCACCAAGATCGGGCTGCAGTTGATGATGCTGGATGAGCCGGCCGCAGCCGGCACGTGGCGTGCACGTGCCGGCAGTATACATGCCCATCCAGCACGTTGAAATCAACGAGAACGAATTCCATCCAGCACGCGTTAATCGCACGTTTTCGCTGGGGCTTCTCAATAATTCAGAGTTTAGGCAATTCTGCGGTTCATCGTGCTGGATGAGCTGG